CTTCGCCACGCGGTTCGATATAGCCCTCGCCTTCAAATGACCAGAAATTGTGCAATTGCAGAAATTGACGTGGCATTAACGTGGCATCGATTCAAGAACATCTTTGAGCACACGTGATGTCACCTTTTCATCGAGAATTTAGCCACGTGTGCCACGCTGCATGAAACAGAGTGTACGATGTCAAGATGGAATAGAGGGAATCCGTGAAGAGGGGGAGTACAGTCAATTCGGGTGTGGGGGATAAGGGGTGTGGTTCACTAGGACAGAAAGCGACTTTTTCGCGTTTCGCAGCGCGAAACATTTTTCGCTGCGGGAATCTCGGGTCCACTGATTTTCGCTGCGGGAACCTCGGGTCCACTGATGATCAGCGGTGGACCTGAGGTTCCCGCAGCGAAAATGTTTCGCGCTGCGAAACGCGAAAAAGTCGCTTTCTGTCCTAGTGAACCACACCCGGGGATAAGGGCAGTCACTTGACATGTGTGAAAAGCTGGAATGTGCGAGTTATTCCAGCGTATCGCTAGGTCATAGCAGTGGGCACCAGTCCCCACGTAGTACATGCATTTTACGACTACCGTATTCAAAAAATCGGCGTGCCCACCCGACTTGCATTGCACCACACTGGGCAAGTCATACATTGCAGTTCGACTATGGAGTGGAAACGTGTCGATCGTGGGGTCGCATGATCGATATATATCTATTCCACACTCCAACTTCAAACGGAACTCCAAATTTGACCGTCCTTTACCTGTGCCCACGCATTCGAACTCGTTAACTTACAACGTTTAAATTCTCTACACCATTTTTATTCTCACTTTTCATTTTACACAGGTTCAATTTTGGCGTAATGTGCCACTCAATAACGATGATTAACAGACTCAAACAAGAATAAAAAACGCACAGCGATGAACATGCATACTGAGGAATTTGGCCACAACAACAAATTCATTTTTGATTTCAAAAACATTTCAAGCAAATTGTATCAGTTGCAATATTTGAAAATAAGAATTAGAAGTGTAGCCAAGCTGAAACGAAAAGGACACGCTCCGCAAAAAAAAAGCTTGAAAACAGCAGTTTGCGGTAAATGACGACTCAGAAATGGCGCCAAACAAAGAATTCAAACGCGATCCCTAGCAGAGCGTCATTTCTTGTCCGGAGGAAAAAGTACCGGGTGAAAAGACCGTTGTTGTATAGAAGAATGCAAGGTGCACTTAACCACGCTTCGAAAAATGAAGGCGCGGCTCAAAAATGTGACTCGGGGGAGCACAACTCGTAGCGTCGAGATCACGGAAAAGCTCAGTTCCAGGACCAAGTTCAAGAGAGGAGATATGCGGAAGGTGAATTTTCGTAATGCTACGTGGTTCGTCCCTGCGATGCCGAGCGTATTCATATAACTTTCGGCGCTCATCCAGTAAGGGGGGCATCAAGTGGCTGCCCTCACCCCCCCCCCTAGACTGCCTACACTCCCCCTGGCGCACAGGTTTCTCGAAGTACGGGACCCCGTGAGCCAGGGGGAGTGAAGCCAGTTCAGGGGGGTGGGGGTGAGGGCAGTTATTAGACATTGCATCACAATGCCCCCCCC